AACTTATGTTAGGGATGAGATCCCTTCAGCTGAAGGACAGTGAATTATTTTTCCCTTCTTGCCAGTTTCTTACCCTGCTGTCTGTGCAGGACTGGACTGTCATCCTCTTGTAGTCCAGGAGTTTTCAACTTTTGCTAGCTCTGTCCTTCAAAACAGCTGCTCATCCCATCCAGAAACTCTGGTCGGCGAGGCAGGAGAAAAATCCTTGAGAAAGGATACTGTTTGATTGAATCCTTCCCTTGTTTATTGCTCTCTACTCCCTCTGTTTGACAAAATATAGCCTGACCTGCCCCAGTGCACGGATCCTATATTGTGGTTTATTCATGACTTCCTGCGTTGTGCTGCCATCATACCTGGATTTTGCTATTTCAGCTGATGAAGAGGGGCACTGAGAACTTCAGTAACAGAAGGAAGTGAACCAAGCAGTATTAATTATGGTACAGACCCTTTATTAGTTCAACTTTCATACAAAGTGTACTTCAAAGTGATACAAATAATGTTTCTTTTAGAGAATAGAGAGTAAAGTCTGTTGAGCACTGTGTTATCCTCGTGTGTACAAAGGTAGAAAACGTAAATAGATTGGCAGTGAACTATAATGCTGGAAGACGGTTCAATGTTTATTTGTTAATATAAAGTTGCATAGAATTGTAGGTCTTTTATAAAGGCATCTGTCTGTGTGGTAAAGTCTCCCTGACCTACTGTACTTTGTCCGACAAGCAGTACGGCAGAAAGGCAAGGCCAGTACTGCTCCTTTGAAATTCCGTCCAGCACCTCTAAGTAAAACAGCTGTAGAAAAGCACCATGCCTGAAACATCCAAGAGGACAGCACGTGGAAAATCTACTTTGCAAGGCTACCCATTTCTATATCTCTTAGGAACTGTTTGCCACCTGGGATCTATTAATACCTTAAACTTCTTAAAAACACCTAAGAACATTTGAGAGAAAAACACTTTTGGCCAGTCGAAATACTTCACTATATTAGGCATTTCACTTGACTAATGCCATTCCCTTCTGGGCTGACAAGAAACTCCTGTATATGTGTGCTGCTAAATTAATTTCTCTCATATGAGACTGTTAATCTAGTACTAGAATCATACTCATTAAAAACTGCCACCTTAATTAGGAAATCCAGCAAAATTCTTCCTTGCCACTCCTGCACCTGACTCACATGAATGAACAAAAGGCATGGAAGTGAGAACCAATCTCATCTAAACGTACCAGAAGCTCTCCCCAAAATTACTCTTCCCATCCCAAGTAACCCGAGCAGCAACAGTCCACACTGGCCAGGACCACTGACCGTTTTTTTGCTTTGGGAGGAGTGCAGGAGAACAGGGAACACAGCTCTAAGGCTGAAGGAAATAGAGGAAACAATATTTTGTCTTGAGTTTGACCTCTCAAGTGGTAATGTCAGCTGAGGGAACTAGTTTACGTGTATTTGTAACTGGCCTCTTGGGTCTTCAGAATAAATACGTAAAAGTTGATTTTCTTTCAAAGACAAACTTACCACTTGCTGTAAAACGTTAATTTCTTAAAAACATCCTTAGTGTTATTCTTTTTCACTCAATTTACTGTAGGATAAGGATTTGCTCAACTCCCTGTAACACCTTGTAGTCTCACATACTTTACTTAACAGCCTGCTCTCTCTGTGAATCTCCCAGCTTTGGTCCTACTACATTTCATAGCCACTTACTTGTGGTTGAACATTCCATCTCCTTTTAATTCTAATGCTATGTTAATTGTAGCAGTTTACACTGGCAAGTTGGCTGCTGCAGCTGCATCATTGCTCCCCAGCTGAGGGAAGACAGTCTTAGTCTTCCTCCCCACTCTCCCTGCTCCACAGGCTTTGCTCTCCCTTTTCCAGCTGCAAAACTGCTATTAGAAGCAACTAAAAATACAACTGCTTGCACAGTTACTGGTCCACCTGAGTAACAGTTCAACTTGCTCTCAGCACAGTTCCACCTGTGAAGAAATGGAATTGATCCAAGTGTGACTGAGTATGAGAATACTAATAATACCAGTAATTCAGTGCTGGAACCTTCCTGTAACACGCTTTCAGCAGTGTCTCTCATCATCCTAAAATATGATCATGGCTAGGGAAGTAGCATTTCCAAGTGAATGTCTTCTCTTACACCAAGTCTACTACAATATTTGGACCCTTAGTTTTTATAAAAAGGCTTAACAGACTATTTGAGAGAAAGAAAAAAATTCCTTGCTTCTGCCAGCTGTTACTAAGAGCTGTGTAAAACATGAGACTGGAAAAGCTAAAACTAGATAAAATATTAACATAACGGGCTATTTAATTGCAGCCTAGTTAATTATAAGACAGGCAAAATGATGACCGTACTTAAGCATACACCACCCTGGGAGTGGTTCATTAGTGGAGGAAAATTTTAAGTGCAAAATAGTTACTGACACTAAGGAACGGGATTAAGCTTGAAGTAACTGGAGGGTTCTGATGGTATTAGCTGGTATGTGCCCATTTAAAACATCCCTGCAAGTGCTTCTTTTCTGCTAAAGGAAGCCCACGCTGGCAGGTCATTCCAGCAGCAGGTGGGCCCAACGCGTTGCCACATTTCAATACGGGAGGTTCAGGCTCTCCAGAGCTGGCAACTAGAAGCTATACAGATTGTGCAGCAGAAAGTCCTTCCTTACCACCCAGGACATGTTTTCTCACACAGTTTCAGGTCTGTCACTTCCCGGGCAGACAGGAGACCAAATGCTAAGCAAATATTAAATAAACCCTATTATTTCCTATACTAGAAAGAATTTAGTCACAAATAAGTGGGTGAAATTCCTAAAACAAAAAAAATGCAGAGACCTCATTATGGAGGAAGCACAGAGCTAATAACTTGTTTTTTTTTCCCGTGGTCAGAACAGAAAGGATTGGGTGATCGTTACTGCACTTCAACTTGGGAAAGTGATCCAGCTCATCTGAGTTCCATAGGGTTTTGAAGGAATTTTCTTCTTTCCCATCAAGCAAAATAGATAAAACCACATCACGGAACCACACAGTTACAGTACACAGAAAAGCACTGATGGATTCTAACAGCATGAAACCTGGTGTTGCCGAGAAGCTTCAAAATTAGTGTGAATGCCAAAATAGTGTCACACAGACCACAGAAACTAACAGCTTGCTTATTTAGAACACACGATAATAAAAGCATTCTTACCTTCTACCTACAGCTTTAATATGCACACTGATGTATGTGAACTGGCCACTGAACGTTCAGTGTGAATGAAGATCTTCCCAAATTACAGCTTCTGTTTTACTGTTTCAGATGGTTAAACAGCTGCTTAAGAGATGTGCTATGTCACGAGTTGGTGAGACTGCTATAGTGACCTAAATACTGCTAATGGCTGTAATTTAACCTACAGTGTAGAGTAATATTCTCCAGGTATGTCCAAGTAAATATTTGGACATAACTCTTCCTATGAATCTTTTCTTTCAGAAAAAAACCAACGAACTTTTACAGATGAGTTGTGTCAGTTTTTAATTGCACACGACCTAACATGTGCACATCTGCTCTAGTGAGAGTTGTGTCAGTTTTTAATTGCACACGACCTGAACATGTGCACATCTGCTCTACTAAAGAAACAGCAGGTTAGAAGGATTTATCAATGCCTGAAATTAAGGCAGCTCTGACCACAAGTCTTCATAGTGTAGTGTATGTGCTCAAGAAGGTTGCTGCCTCTCTCTTTGGTTATGCTGTTAGCCATAGAAGCGTTGCTCTGAGTGACAGCAAGGCATGCACAGGAACATATTTGCTTTTTAAACTATAAAATTAGCTTATTCGGATTGCTGCACCTGCACATGTTTTCCTGAAAACTTCAAAACTGATTTAGCACGTTCAGTAAACAGGAGGCCAGGTTCTCCCCTAGTTACTCCACTGAAGAGCTGCAGTGCAGGACAGCATATGGCTTGATTATAGCACTGAAAACAACATGAACAGTTTAGAGAAGAGTCTTGGAACTGTACAGATTTCGGATGCAGTCATTACAGACAAATGCCCCCTTGATTCAGTAACTGCAGGTCTGTTAAAAAATCCTAACTCTTACACAGTTGCAAACTCGAGTACTAATAAAGATGTCCAAAGTCCAAGTGACTGTGCAAATATTCGTCTGTTGTGGATATTAATGTCCAAGTAGCCTTAAACCTGCCAAAAGAAAATTAAGGATACTCAAAGTATTTATATATGCTTTAATGATACTGAGTACTGACTGGGCTGGTCTTCAGCTTAAAGGACCCTGTAGAAATAGTTGATACATGAAAGCTTCAAATTTTTAAATAAAATGCAGATGCAGTCCCACAAACTCCAAGTTACTCACACATCTATTTAAAAGGTTTTATGTGACTCTATTACCTTGGGCTTTCATATTAGTGTCTTAAGTGTGTATCAGACTGGCAAATTAGAGAAAGTCTAAAGTAAAAGTCAACCATGCCTGAAGCTGTTACACAGCAGCAGAATTACAATTTAAAGTGCTTTCATTCCATCTTCCAAATATCCCACCTACAGACTACAAATACACAAAATCTATTACCTTCTATTGCTGACTTAGTGACTTTTCCGAAAATTGAGTACATCCTAAACATCATTAATGATGATCACAGTTTCTGTCTAAACTTAAATGGACTATACTGGACCAGGAAGAAAAATTCTTTAAGTATCTTTAACTTTGAGAGGTTCTAGATTTCAGGATTGAAAGACTCCCACAAATGATACACTGAAGAGATAACAAATCAAGTCTCCTTCCCCTTTTTATGAAAACATTAGCTAAAAACATATTTGCAAATCACTAGTTTTAATGCCCAGTGTTCCCTAAGAGAAAATTCCCTCATTTGTTTTCACATACCAAGAGAAAAGAAAAGTAGTAATCTAGATTTTAAAAGAAAGCAAGTAAATCAGAAATGATATAAAGTTTACTAATCATTCATAGAAAGCAGAAAAGTTTGCCAGATGGTCACAGAATTTAAAGAAAATGCTTTTTGAGCTTACTTCTGTTCAGATAACTGTAACTTCCCTAGGTTTTCGTTTTACACTCTCTAGTCGTGTCAGAGGGCGGAAATTTGTTGACTTCCTGCTTCCTTCTGTAGTAGTTAATCGACAGTCCTTCTGCAGCCCCTTCAGCAGCTCCATTAATTCCCGTTTTTCCAGCTCCGCCTGCTCCAGCTCTTGACGGTGTTGCCTTTCTGCAGCCATCAGAGAGCGTACATCTGACATCATTCGTGACATCTGACTCTGAAAAGCAAATGCAAATCTATTGCAAGAAATGAACTCTTGTCTAATGATGGTGGTATGAAGCTGAATTGGTCATGCATGCAGGGTGATGGATTATAAAGAATAAGCAACACTGAAATAATTTTTTAATAGCTGAACAAAGGTAAACAATCTGAGACACAATCCAGCAGTTACCTACTGAAATGGCCTTGTTTCAAAGATTCCAACACAGTTTTCCTAAAAGTGCAAAAAGTTTCTTATAAAGTACAATAAGAAACAGTGGATTTACCCAGTTGCTCCTTAAATTTTGTATTTCAAGACCCCAACCAAAATAAGGTTTTGGTTACGTTCAGATACATTCTTCAAGGATTTAACATCAAATCTAGTAAAAACAGAAATGTAAATTATAAAGCACATCCATTGCTTTGGGCTTTAAAAATCATTATTCTGTGACACACTAAGAACTGGATGAATGAAGAGATAAGAGGGCCTTGCTCGTTACTTGGTTAAGTCTATGGTGCAGCTTTCCAACCTTTTGACCACAGCTGAACCATAGTGTAAACACCACTGTCTGCAGTAGGGCTCTGTGTCAGCCCTGGATTAAGCTGCTTTGGACAGCACTAAAAAAGGAGCCGGATATTTAGTTACAGCTGATTTGTGATGTATGCCCTATGTTTAGACACTGAAAATGAGTTTCAGACTGATTTGCTGATGTGTAATGTACGCGCAGAGCAATGCAGCCCTGGTACGGGGTATAGAGGTTAGCTCCAAACAAATTTGAAGTAGATAAACCACACGAATACAGCACTTGGCATGCTTCTCGGCAGACCTGATTAGCCCAGGCAAAGTGTCATGCTAACACCTGTTTTTGTTCCCATACTTAATGTAATTCTCATCTGTACGAGACTACATTCACAAAATAAGAGACTACTACTAGGAAAAGCAAAAGGCTAGACTGTTAGGAGATGGGGAAAAAAAAGAAAATAAAATTATCCTATTTACCTTTAGTTCTTCAATTTCATTTTGCAGAACACTCTCTTTCTGGACCATATGCCTTCTCTGTGAATCTAACCTTGACTCCATCTCATGCTTTGCCTCCTCCACTCTGCAGATCATTTCTGACCTAAAAAGTTTATTTCTCCTTGTTAGGTCTTGTAAGCATGAAAAAAAAATAATTTTCAAATTTCAGAAAGCCTTCTTGCAGCCGAACAGCCTGATCCGATTCCCATCATACTCTACAGGACACCTCCCTAGAGGCATGATAGTACTATTTATTAATTTAAATAAAACTAGCATAAGAAAGTGCGTTGTGCCCAGGGGGCACTAAAGTGACCACGGACAGCCTACAGAGGGGACAACTGTATCGTAATCCCAAAATAATTCTGTAAGTTCAAGATCGTGTATTTATGACTTCAAATAATTTACTGCCTTTTACTTACAGTACATGCTTGCTTAGTATTACTATGCACAGGTTGTCACGATAAAAAGCGTGAATACTACAGTATTGCTCAGCACGTAATCTTGTCACTTTCATGGTGGACACTAAACTATCATATGCAGTAAACTGTAACAACTTCGTCACTCACACAGAATCAGAGCCAAAACCGAGCTGTTACTACAGCTCTACTAACAGCCTTTTGATAGCAGAATCCTTTGTGCCTCAAAGCACTTAAACCAGATTTCAGCCTGACTTCACAGCAATGTTCAAAGAGCACAAGACTTAGCGAGCTGAAAGTTAGAAATGGGAAGCAGCATGGAAAAAAAAAACCAACAGTCCAACCAGAATACCATGGAAAGGGAAAGCTATGGAAACATACGTAAGAGGAAAAAGAGGATGCCGGTAAGAAGAGTATTCATCAAATGTTATTAATCTGTCAGGATTTTAATCAAAATTCAAAATTAGATCCTCAGAGGTTTAATCTACCAGTCTGTACCTGCCAAAATAATTAGAGATTTTTATATTTGAGACCTGTAAAAATATAAACTAAATATAATTATTAAATAATGTGACTTTGGGTCTATATCAGGCCAATGAAAAAACAAAATTGCCAACTTCAATCCAGTTCTTTTCAGGTATTTTTTAATTTTATATAGTCAGCTCACAGTCTGGTTCAACTGCAAGCAGTGGTATTTTAGGATTTATAATAACTTGGACCAACAAATAAAACAGCAAAAAAAAAAATGAAACCAGTAAGAATTTAAAGTCTATGCCAACACGTAATAACATTCTAGCCCATCCGTACCAAGTAATTAACAGACTATTTAACACAAACCGGAATCCACTGCTAGTATGTGAAGTGCTTTACGCAGTGATTTTGGGCCCAGACTAACACAGACACCAAAGAAACAGAAGATTTTGTACCGCAGTAGTTCCAGCTCGGTTCTCAGCTCCGCCACGCAATTGTGCTGCGTGTCTTCTGCGCCGAGAACGGTGTAACCACAGCCGTTGGGGCACTCGCGGCTCCGGTGCTCACACACTGCCAGGTGGCCGTCTAAGTTACGTCGTTCGATCTGAACCGTACAGCCTGAACAGGGGGCAGTAAGGTAACGTAAGCCAGTCATCTACTACTTACAGAAGCATTTTAATTAATTCCTAAAAAAAAACCCAACCCACTCAAGCAAACAAGCTGCAATATCTTGAGCTAAGCAACTGTCAATCTGTTAAGGCAACGAAAAAAAGTGTTTTCTCTAGAATATGAAATGCAATAGTCATAACACACATACTACTAATAAAACACACTTAGAATTTTTCTATCAACTGAAAATACATATTAAAAAGTAGGTACTGTCTGTGAAGTCTTCTGCCACTGGTCTGGCATTAAAGCAACTTCAGTAATGACAACACTGATGTCAAGCTAAGACTCTAGCAGCTTGCCTGCACTCTCACCGCAGATTGCAATGACTTGAATCGAAGACGAATGCACATGTGTAAAAAAAAAAATTATGTATTAAATTTAGAAAAAAGGTCCAAGGACACGCAGTAAAACCGTGGGTGAGATGGAATGTAACCTTGTTTTCCTTAGCATCGGTTGGTCCTGTGCATAACATTCTAGACCACATAAACGAGAACATTTATTTATGAACATTTAATACCTGATGCAAAAGGAGAAACGTTTCCACAGAAATTCTAGAACAAAAACTTTACAAATCTGTAGTGTAAAATGTGGAGAACCAAAAATGAGCACTATATAAACTATTGCTACATTTAACACTCTAAACTTTGTCGTCTCTAATCTTCGAGTCACTGTTTGATGTAATATGTACTATAGCTCCTTCTATTTCATTTGAAGACAAAATAGATGTAGGAAAACTGAAATGATGGAGCAATGAAACTTGCCAACAAACCATACCAGAAAATTCCAAAAGACAGCCCTCTGGAAGAGCTTTACTGATAAATATAATGATTTGTAATTGGAGATACTCAAAATACACTCTGATGTACTCTTGAGGAAGAGTTCAACAGATGCAAGAGCCCTCACACCCTGAACAGCAGACATCAGAGATGAGGTGTGATAACTCTGTAAATGCTACTGTTTCTGTAGAAAGTAAAGCAGGAAGCATCTGCAGGAGCCACTTACTGCTGAGAGGAATTAAAACTTCTAGTGGAGCAATTCTAGCAACTTAATCTTCTTATAATTAATTACAATGGCAGACTTGACTATGTCCTTAGCATCATTAATTAGAAGTTAACTTTGTCTAGGAACATAAGACATTTTGAATAAAATCTGACTGAGAAATTTTAACAGGATGTTTCTTTTCAGCAGTATGTTTCTTCCTCAGGATGTGTCAGTTTGTTTTAAACAAAGGCCTTAACATGAACACACCAATTCTAACCAGAATTTAGCTTAAAAGAATTCTCATTTCCAAGATACATTTTTGTTAAAACCATGAGACAGAGCGAGCAGCTGCACATGCACCAGGCAATGAGACGTTTTATAAATGAATTGTGGCCCATAAGCATTCTGTAGGTGCTATTACATTGATTCAAACATCAAAACGAACAGCCAAAGTTGAAAAACAAACTCAAAACTTGACAGAAAGCAAAAAACCCCACACTACTGTATTTTCCTAAATTTGAAGCCCACCATTCTCATTCGTCTTTGCTAGCTCTTGGGTAAGAAATTGTTGCTAATGATCATGATTGCCATAAACTGGTAACAAATTTTGTTCAAGACGACTGCTGTACAGAGTAGACCATGGTAAAGTTTTGAATTTCTGTTTGGAAATAACAGCCGTTATCGCCATTCTGTTGACAGAAAGACGACCAACACATGTTTTCTGAATACAAGGGATTCAGCTTCTTTGAATGTCACTCACCGGCATTGGAGCAAGGTATCCGACTGTATTCACACTCCCTTTCGTGCCTGTCTATAGACTCCAGAGAACAAACCATTTCACAGCCAAACTCTCTGTTTTTGCAATGTAGCTGAAGGCGGTTCAAATCATTTTTCATATATCTACGTGCAAAAAAGATTAATTTGTTCTTAAATCTGGGAAATTATTGAAAAATTTGTATTGCCAACTTTTGGCAAAAGAAAGTAAGATTCTAATCTCCGTTAGGAAAAATTGTGAATATCCAGTTTAATTTTTTTTTTTTTTAGAATTCAAGTGACTGTATTGGAAAAGAACAGGCTTAAAAGAAGCAATGTTCATGGAAAATTCAGTCTCCGAAATTAAATGTGCAAATGAAATCTTTATTTTTGAATAAATCTTTAACTGTGACCTTTCACTAGCTCAGCAGATATTACCAATAATAAACACTAGGGCTACTCATTCATCATTTAAGTTTTGTGTTTCTAAACATGCCAAGCCAAACTGACTACAGTGAATACAGACAAAACAACCTATAAATTAAACTCTAGGCTTCTGTCCACACTGTACTTCAACTTTCCACGCAGTAAAATCTCATTAGGAACAAAAATACTGGGAATACTAATGGAGTTAATTTAACGTCTGTGGCTGAAGGTTTTAAACACAACATAACCGTTAATCTGAGCAAGATTAGACAACGCAGGGGTTAAACAGGAAGCAGTAACTACTGATGAAACTCTGTGCTGGCAAGGAGTTAAGGAAGACACTTGACAAAACAACCTGCTTTACATGACAATGTGGCTCAAGACAGAAACTTATGGCTAAATAGCTTTTTAAAAAGGATTTCAATGTGAGAAGTTTGGCTCATATCTACAGGAATTATTCAATACAAACCCCACTACAGTATCTAGGTAAGACTGAAAAGAAAACCAAAAGATGCACAGTGTTTAGTGACTGTTGTTTGCCTGCTTTCTCTAAAAAAGCATGGGAAAGTTTTGGTGCAGTAGAAGACTAAACTCGTGTAACTTCAACATACATATTGCATACCTGTAGAGAGGTCGTAGCAAAGACACGTCAATCATCTGTCTGTCTTCCGGGCAGTTACTGTGATGAACAAGCCATCCATGTATACAAGCAGTACAGAAAGCGTGTTCACAAGGAGCCTGTAAGGGATCTTCCAGCACATCACGGCAGATGGAGCATAACAGCCCTTCATTCACGTAGCCAACGAAACGCTCGATATCATAACCCATGCTCTCTGCACACTTCCAACCTACTAAAACAATGCAGAGAAATAAAGCAGTCTTTGTCCTGCATCTGTATAGCTAGGTCCACAAAAAGGCCTGGAAGCAATTCTAGAAATACGGAGAACTCAACATGAATAAACAACTTCACAGGTAAGAATGCGAACATGTACGTACTTTGGAGACCTTGAGATTTAAGTGAGAATTTCAGGATTGTATTGCTGGATGCCAGAATCTCAATTTTATATCAAGATTCTCTGAATTCTGAAAGAAAAGACTTTAGCAGACAGTTGAGCTACGCTTGTTCTGAACTCTGGTACTGAACGTAGTTCTAGCAGCCACTGTGAAACATACGGTTTCTATTTACCTGAATTCTACCTGAAGCAGAAACATCATAGAAGTTCAAATTACAATGTTTGCTTTCCATTTTACTGCCTTTCATATAATTCCTTACAAAACAGCGTTCCTACAGACAATAGCTGTGGTACTTTCAGCCAGCAGATTTTGTAATTATGAACTGCGCATCACTTCATGCGTTGCTTTCACGCTGAAAAAAAAAAAAAGGCTAAGATTCTCTGCTCCTTGTAGACTTCCTTTCCAGAGGGAACAGCATGAAATCTCCACACGCCTAGAGAAATACTTAATATTTGGGCAGAAAAAAGCGCCAAAACTGCACCAAACCCTAAAATGATGAGAAGCTACTGTCTTCTCCTACACAGTCTATTTTATAAAACTGAGTAGCCTTTAAATGGATTTGAAAGCTTTGTGAAGGCGAACTAACAGGCAATCTGCCTTCATCCGGATCCTGCCATGAGAATCCTGGTAGAACTTGGTAAGACTCCATAGAACTCACTTCAAAGAACATGTTTTAGGCTCTGCATTCCTCCTTAATACACAGAATTACTTTTGTAACCTCGCTGAGGCTCGCGGAAGAGGTTTTCATTAGTTAGGAGGTTTTCCAAATAAAACAGAACAGGAAGATATCCTACCTTTTCAGATCTTGCTACATATATATGTAGTTTGTCAAAATACTTCAGAAACAGCTTTCTGATCAGCAAGACAAGGAAACTTCCTTCAGTTTCTCTTCACTGCTTTATTATGCCTATGAGAAAAATTAGAAGGAAAGAGGCTCAGTAGTGTTTCCTAAGTTACTGAGTCCTATGTCTGACCAGCCAGCTGCTGAACAGATGCTGTCCTAAGAGCCCATTAAAACAAAGCTTTTCAAAGCAAGCCACACTAAAACCTACAAAGCAACACAAGAGTTCTGACTAGATTGGTGGGGGCAGGGGAACCCATCACTTTCTCTTTCAATTATTACTGATCCAGATACTCATCACGAAACTGAACACCCTGCTGCCATTTAATTTTGAAGCCTTACAGTTTTGTTTGCAAGATTGATGAGAACAGAATTCAATATTATTTAAAAGTAGTAACTGAAATCTGATATAATTATATTCCTTCAAAAGATGAAAGTTTCTCGTCTAACCCGGCTTTATCCAGGCATGATATACAGTTATTTTTTAAAACAAAAGCATCACAATCAAGTTCATCGTACCAACAAATAACTTGGCTCTGATTTGTGGCATAACTAAGGTTGCTCACTTAAAACACAAAAGGAAAAAGGATGTCATCACTTAAACCCTTTAAGCTGAAATCTAGCAACTGCAATATGACACTCAAAGAGAATTTCAATTTGAACTAGAACTGTGTAAAAACGATAAGGATCTCTAAGGACTAGTGTCAAATTTTGCTCTGAAGGGAAAAAAGAACTTTGCAATTCCTCTTCGTGAACACGGTACAAATCTGGGATTTAGCAGATCTTGTATATCTGAGTATCAAAGCATATCTTCACTGATTATGAAAGCTGGTTGTGTTAAAAGGGTATTTGCTAAGATTAAAGTCAATACAACCTGCAGTGAAAGCATAGATGACACCAGCAAGCATGCATACTACCCAAACACAAACCACATCATCTACTACACAGTTTCCATATTGTGTTTTGTTTCTACTGGCATGTTTATCACACAGCCAACACCCTGGCTTGCAGAGATGCCTGAGCTAGCTTTAGATGAGCTGGAACACCTACTAGCCAGGTGACCTAGTGACAGCATTGCCACAGCAGCAGGGAGCACGACCCATGGAAGACTCCTGGCGAGGTCCCAGGCAGATTTCACAGACTGCATTCAGCTCCGTGCTTCTACGGCTACGTTGTTATCCACAACACAGGGAAACTAGATTTACAAGTATCTAGGATATGCTATTCCTTCTGCCACAGCATGGATCTTCTACGTCTTAGAAGTCTGCTCAAGAAAATACCATATTATGAAGATGATAAACAATTATTTTTAAACTGTTGTTTCCTTGTGTGCCTACACAGGTCTCCTGCAAAGACAGGAATACGCAACTTTGCTATATTCAGCGTGAAAAAAATTAGCATTGTGTTTGCACACTGTGATTGTAAGGACAGCAAGGACCACAATGGAAAACTGAAGAAGTGGAGAACAATGCTGATAATCAGGAGCAGAATGTGAAGTCAAGTACCAGTTCCCAACACTGATGAAAGCATTAAGACATAGAGTATATTTATGCTGAAGGACTGTTAAACAGCATATATACATTCTGTAATTCGAATTGCAAGCCTAAAATTTTGATTTGGCTTGGTGGATCCCAGAGTATTCCGCTTTTGGAAAACTTTCAGAGGTATGAGATATATCAACAGAACTGTGAGTATTTTTTGCTGTCCGAGGGTTTCTGCTCTACTCGAATTGTGGACGCTGCAAGCTACATTTTGCACACACACTGCTGATCCCTGAGCACTAAGTCTTCAGGACACTCTTCGGCATATTTTAGCAAGTTTGAAGTCTATCAGAATGCAGGAAAGATTATTTTTATCAAGTGGGAAACAAAAACTTTATTTGTGCATGACAGAAAAATTAGGTGCAACAAATCTCTCTCTCTCAACCCAAACAAAACTAGAGTCCAAATGGAGACTGGATGTGAACTTTGAGGCAAAAAAGTAAAATCAAGGGAGGTTTCTGATGAGTCTTTCAAGACTGATGTTGGAGAAGCACCATCCCACACAGTGACAGAATCCTTGTGGCTTTGAGTCCGAGACGTACAACAACAACTGCCACTGAAGTATCAGACCTCTTCCAGTAGAAATTTCCTGACCTGAAGAACTGGAGATATTTTACTTTCTGCCAACTTCAAGACATGCACTTTAGTCAACAGATAAGCAGAGGGAGATCATCAGATGAATGCCACGCACTCTAGCAGTACAAATCACTTTACTCAGTACTTCCATCACAAAACAACATCGTTTTGAACTTCTGTTCTTCCCCAGAAACTTCTCTCTTCTCAACTTGGCCTCAAAACGTCTTCTTCTGTTTCTATTACAATTCACCAATTGTCACACTCCTTTTTAGTTTCCACCTAGAAACTACAATATTTATCACTGCCTTCCCACAATCCACTAAAATTTCCAAACCTTGCCTTGTCTTTAGTTTCGCTGGTCCAGAATTTTGCCCATCACCTGGCCATTACCAGCGACACTGTCCACTATGATATCTGGAATTTGTGGATGCCAAATCTGGAAGGCAGAAGAAAACCACACTATTACCTGCTATTCTACTTCCATTGTTTCACATATATTTTATTTCTCCTTGTAGTTTTTCACAGGCAGATGCACACCTAAAACCAGCCTTGAGCTATGACCTGTACTGCCTTGAAACAGAGATGCTGTGTGGCTATTAATAGCAGGGAGAATACAGATGGGATGTAGTTCTCAATAACATGACAGCACAGCTGGCTAAACGTTTGGCACAAATCAAAGCTATTCCATTGTCAAAATCAGGGCAGTGAGATCAGATTAGTGATTTGTGTTTTCACTTCTACAGTACTTTCTGATTTTTAAAAACTGCTTCTTTTCCACGTGACAAAACAAAGCAAGGCTGGAGGGAATCACAATAGAACTACAGATGTGCATCATCAAGACAGCATTTCCAGAAGTGCCATGTGGCTGGAAGAACAAATGAGCTATGCAGGGCCCAGGGACAAGGTGACATTAAAATACACTATTGCTTCAGCTTCTATTTTCACAAAGATACACTGTGCTTTAAATCCTGCAATACAGAAACAATGTTTTTGGATGTCTTATGCCATTCTGCCACAGCCACAGTAAACCAGTTTAAGTCAGCATTAAAGCCCAAAGAGGCAGACTCACCCCTTCAACCCTAACAGCACAAGCTGTTTCTACAGCCACTTGATGTATCACACTGGGTAACTAACCTGTTTTAACACCAAACTGGAAAAAAAAAGTTTTTAACTTTGACAGTTGTCCTGCAGTAGCCCAAGCCAATCTATCCACTAATTAATGTCCTCCTAGCCTCCCTCTACTTCCTCTCGATTCAGTTAGAACATTTAATTTGGCCCTTTCCTGAACTGGGTCAGACAACTAACCATACAGACAACTACTCCCCTATTTGCTAGGCAAGATTTTCTTGTACAGGGCTCAGGAAAAGCTCCAGTGACAGTGGAAATGAGGCAAGACAAGGGATGAGAAACCACAGCCAGGGCAGAAAGGAAAGAAAGATAGCAGCAGTGTCTTTGGTTAAGGCTGCTGTAGTGCTACTCTCTCAGCTAAGCTCCCCTTACTAAGTATATTGTGGAGTTTCATGAACATTCATGTAAAAAAAAAAAAGGGAACAGAAGTAGATAAGCATGAATGGATAGCAATATCAGCTTACACTGATATAAAAAACTGACTTAATCAACAAAAGCTTCTATAACAACCAGTACGAGACACATAACTAATTTAGAGCCTACGCCTCTATCAGGAGCTACCTAAGAAACTAGAACTACTTCAAATATTTTAACATAACGCTTCCACTTGCTGTCCTGCAGCAAAACCTACTCAAAACAGAGCAACAAAAGATATCGATCTCACAGACCACCTTTGAGGCTTTGAAGGGCTGGACTCTGCCAGAGGCAAGACCAAGGGCAGAGGAGCTCTCCTCAGAGGCTCTGGTGGGGAGGGGGTTACTTTGCACAGGTAGGAGGAAGGCCTCTGGGTCATGCCTGGGTAGGCTCTTCAGGAACGGCCAAGGATCTTGGTCACAGAGACCAAAACTGGTCTGGAAACACCTGGAGCAGCAACGCGACGCCAAGCAACCACGCCTCCGCGGACTCCGACAACTCACCGTTACCTTCCCAGCAGGACGG